ATAATATCATTTAAAAGAGACAAACTCTATTTAGGGATGTATGAGAAGAAAGCTTTTAGAAGGCTTCATCTTACACCAGCTTTTAAGACCGAAGTGACACTGGTTCTAGGGGGAAAAACTCTTTAGAAAAAAGTTAAACCAAAGCATCCTTCAAACCTTCTATCAAAAGGCATAACTTCCTTTTTCAAAGTTGTATGAGGTGTTAAGAGTCTTCTCCCATCAGGCCAGGTAATGTCAGATGAAAGGACTCTGCCTCTCTGTCTTGATAGGGAACTTCACCTCAACTTCTTGGACAAAGGAAACACAGCCTAGGTAACTACAGATTTGTCCTTGCCTGGCTAAATTCCTGTCTCTCACAACAGTCACATGTGAAAAAAGAAAGCCCTCACAGGCTACACAGAGGTCATCATGCATGAACTGAGACACCAACGATTATAAACATTACAGTTATGCTCCTGTTCTTTTGCTGGCTCTCAAATACCAAACACAGTATACAGTCCTAGTCTTAGCTTCCCCCACAATTTTGTTCCTCCACCTTGTTGTTCCCTTCCAATACAAATGAGCTTTTTTTTCACAACACCCTGATCAATAAAACATTTAGGGACATCTTCAACAAAATCTCTTGCTAATATTCTATTTATGGCATGTTTCATGTTGAAGTTGCATGGAGACTGAAGAAAACACTCAAAAACTTCAGAAACAATTGGGAAAAAAAAAATTCCTCTAGTCCAACCTCCTGCTCAAACCAGGGTTAGCTATGAGGTCAGACCAAGTTGCTCTGGGCTTTATCCAGTCAGGACTTGAAAACACCCACATTTGAAGACTACACAGACTCTCTGAGCAACCTGTCCCAACAGTTAACTCTTCTTCAATCTTTATATTCAAGATTAGTGTGCCTATGAAGTTTTCAGGTTATAATTACCATTTCAGGAGACTGCACAAGTGATGTTTCTGGTTGCTGACGGGAAGGGGCAAGAACAGAGTCAGCAGGTCTTGAAGGCTGATGTGCAACTGTCTCAGTGCTGGTCGCAGTTTCAGAGGATCCTGATCTGTGGATTTCATTTGACTCATTCAGTTTGCTATTCCTCTCTCCAGCAATTAAGTCTCTGATTTTACATAGCTGCTCAATCGAAGCTTCCTTAGGGAAAACCAGATGAGTTTCTCCCTGAAATTTAGACAAATTAATTCAGCAGTTAACGCAGGTCTAAGCTAGTCAGCGGTTTGTATCTATTGCTAACAGCTATCTCATTTACTCGAAGTTAACACACTAAGGCTTGGCACGATTCAGCCTTCAGATTAGGTCCCTCACAGCAGAAGCTATTAGATCAAGAACCTACAGTCAGTCTAGAGAAAAAGGGCTCATAATAACATGCTTTTATTAGTAACTTATTTTGCAGAGACACACACGGACAATGCAATTATGGCTGGGCAGAGGAAGCAACAACAGAAACGAACAACAAATGCTCAGTTCTCACAGCACAGCAGTGAAACGCTAGGCAACACAGGAGGATACCCAATGTTGGAGGAAGAAGCCCCTAGAATGGCATCTGCTGGTAATTCTCTTCTATACTGATATCTTTTAGGTTTTGTGAGTTTTCAGATGGGAAATATTCTTATTTAGACCTGTACCCACCTCAATTTCCAGGTTCCTATTTTTGATTGCAACACAATTGCTAGTAGCATAACAGAAGATCAGTAATTACGACAGAAGCAAAGTATCAGTGCACTTAACATGAAGAAATAGGTTACCAAAAACATGAATATCCTGAAAAATTCATAGTTTAAGAGTTTCAGTTTCTACTGCTGCAGCACTTCTATTTATTAAACTGAGTAATTTGTTTATCCACAGTAACCTGAGGTCACCTATCCTTGCAGACGGAGTGCTTCACTTTAACACTTACAGTCACCACAAAACTAAATGGAACGTATCAATCCAGCAGTGTCCTCATTTTTTAATTGAAAAAGTTGGCTTACCAAGCAGAGACAAAGGAACAATTTTAGTTATCGCAGTTGAAGAGAAGTTTGTGAGCTCCAGCCTCAGTTGACACAATAACCATAAGACTGAGCCAACATGCTCTTAAAGATCTGACAGAAGTGGGAGTAGCTCTTTATAACATGTTTAAAATTACTATGTTATTACTGCTTGAGTGCTTCACTAGCTACCTTGACTACCTCTTGGCCAAAACACATCATTAGAAGTCATCTCCTGAGCACCAGCATGAGAATAAATCTGCAGACCATTTCTTCCTCTGCAGTCACCATTTATTTCAGCATACTTTTTTTTTTTTTAAATTAGGACAACTACACTAAATAACTTCACCAGAAGAGAAGGCAGAGGTCTCATGACAGCTGGACCTAAATAACATAATGTACGCATCCATACAGAAGTGTGGTATAACATAGACAAATTAAAGCAAAGCTAGAGCAAGAGCTTTGCACCATTAAACAAGAGTTGTTTTTTCACCCCAGCTCTCCTGTAATTACAAAGGCTGCTTCTAGCTTAACCAGCTTTGGCAGTTTAAGTTCCACCAAGACAGGGACCATTTCAGGACACAAATCTTCAAAATACATCTTTTTGACTGCACAGAATCAAGACTCACTCGAGACTATTTTAGGATACAGTTTCATAACTGTTTTAAATGGTAAAAGTCCCACCCTCCCACTACTTCAATAGTCTGTTGCCCTCCACTGCTGTCATGACAACACTAGTACTTGTGCAGCTGCACTGTGAATTGGCTGAAAATTATTTCTTTGGGTGGGGGTGGGTTAATTTTTAATGAGATCAGCTTACCTCATCTAACTGACTATGGGGCCACGTAAGCCCTACTGATGGTAGGAACAAGCAGCAGAAGAGCAGGACTTTATTTTTCCCCCCTTCCAAATGATGGTTTCAACACACAGATTTACAGTATGGAAACTACTGTCTGATGGCGCAGTCTGACATCCACCTAACAGTGGGCTGCTACTCAGAGAAGAGGTTTTCACCCCTTTTCCCACTATTTCCTTTGTGCCAGCATAGACATGTATCTGACCATTAAGCAAACTAGTAATGCACCTGAACAGCAGAAAGCCACTCTTAACACAGATCAGGTTAGCCCTAGCTCCACCAGATTTCTGAATTAGCCTCATCTAAATTTTCCTGTTGGTTAACTGCAGGCATCTGCAAACCAGGACCAAAAGACAATAGCAATTGGCTTAAAACCTAGTGCCTTGCAACTGGGAAAGCAGAAAAAAAATTCCAATTTTAAATTTTAGCATGTAAACTGATGAAGACATGAGAAATTACTAAATTATACTCACCTCTTGAAACCCCATCTCAAATAAACATTCAACGGCTCCTCTGACAGGCACCAGTCTCGTGGAAAATGCTGGATTTCCAATCCGAATTAATCTATATTTTTCTTCATAAGGATTCCTGAAGAAATTGGAAGTTTTAATTATGGTTGCAAATTAAGTGAACACTTAAAAGCTGGGTAAACTGCACTAAGCAGCATTAGTCATTCATGAGAGATTTTTTAAAAGTTTAGTTTCATTCCCACCGTGTAGGCAGAATGTGAAGCTGACCTAAAACTTTGACTTAATTCATGTCCTTCTGCATTTAACTTCGAGAATTACAAACTGGTTCTAAATTTTAGTTTGCAACCTAAGTGCATAAATACATGTTCTGTAGTCCTAGCCAGCAGGGCTTAGTCTGCAGTGACACTTACAGACAGCTTCACATCCCCCTCTACCTGGTAGCATTCTAATTGAACTCCTCAGCTGGATGCCAGATGGTTTTATGCCCACTACAGAAGTTACCCTAAACTTCCTAGTACATGGGTGAAACTACTGTGGTGTCTTTACCTCTTGAAGGGCCACCCCTCAGTTCCCCTCTCGCCTCTTTCTTTAAAAGGAGTCAGCCCAGGACCCACTGTTCTCTGTTGCACATCATAGTTTTTGCAGGTGGTTGACAAACCAGATATAGACAGGGAGGGGCTGCTCACACACCTCGAGTTGCCGGAAGACATCAAGGTCAATCGTACATACTGGTGCGTATGTATACCCTACAGAGACACCTCGCAAAAATTCAACTATAATTAACTCTTGATACCGATCTTACCGAGTCAGAAGAGAAAGGCAACAGAAAAATCAAGTTACTATTTTAGCGTTACTTGTTATGCATCCACTAATTTTCAGCTGCTTAAATGCTTGCAGAATCAGGGCCAATGCAGGCTTTTACGTTTAACACAAAAAACAAGCCCTCAAAACAAACCAACCAGCAATGAAGAAAGAAATAAAAACCCAAGCCACCACACACCTACGTGAAAAGTAATCTTGTTTTTAAATAACGACAAAAAGAAGCGAGATGTTTTTCAACCTCACTGTTACGTAACAAAATTGAATCATACGGCTCGTCTCGGAGACGGTCCGTCTGCAAGCCCAGAAATAAACTGCCGCCTGCGGGAGTTTTGTCATAAACTGCTTCTGAAGCGGCATTAGTGACCCGACAGGAATGACCCCGCTCACAAGCGGGCTCTGTTTTCTTAAGGACGCGCCACGCCGCTGCCGCCCGACCTCTGCCCGCCGTGCCCACTGACCCCTTCGGCACC